CAAGTTCAGTACATGGTTAACGTGGGAGTTCTGAAAATTCATTTCTTAGCATGTTTCAACCATGATGTGTGTGATAATGGAAAGAACAAATGAACAGAGTAAAAAGACAAGATTAAGAAAAGAGTTGGGATTTAAAGAATCTTTGATAAGAAACAAAATATTCATGCATTTGTGGCTAGGAATAAGATTATTTTTATCTTCCTAGATGACATGACAGATATCTTCAACAGGAGTGAAGAAATGGAAATAGGTGTATAAACAGCAGATTTTGCACTGAAGCTAAAACCAACCCATACGAATAGTAACAGAGGAAAAAGCAAAACAAACAAAACCCCAAACCTAAAAATTTTAGCTGGTTCTAGCCCTGTGGAATGAGTGTGAGTCATAAGGTTTGGCACAGTACTGCTTTGTAAGATCATTTTCAGAAACAGTGGAGAGACCAGGTCATCTATTTTATCTGATGTCACCTCTTAGAAGCAAGGAGCTCTGCTGCGATTTTCTTAATTTTCAAGTAGCTGGATGGTAAAAAAGTTGTATTTAATAATGATTTCTCATCAGGGAAAACGCTATCCAATATTCTTGGATATTGATGGAGATGATAAGCTCTTCCCTGAGGGTGTGCGTGCAAGCACTGTCAGTGGGAATGTGCTACAAGCAAAAGTAGAAGCTCCAGGCATCCAGCGTGTTGGGGCTGAGCTGAGCTGGAGATTTTGTGTTCAGGGCAGTCCCACTTGGTAGCTAAGCTCTTGCCTCTTTAGTGAGGAAACACAGGGAAAGAAGTTTGAGGTAGGGTTTTTTTCTTCAGAATTATCACCTAGTGCTTTGTAATAGAATGCTAGATAACTGTATTATCCCTCTCTTGGGATCCCTCACTAGGCAGATATTGAAATTTTGTTCTTGATTGAGACGTTTACTTTGATGGAGTATGCCTTTTCAGTGCCCAGGATAGCGTACGTAAGCTATAATCGATTTTCAAATGGAATAAAGGTAATCACACAGGCCCGCAATTCCTCATTGATGATGGTAAGATTTTAACTAGCGATGAGGAAGATGACTTTTAGCAGCTGGTTCTTCCCCACTAGTTTGACCACAGTTCTGTCCGTCATTCACGCTTGCCCGTTGTTGTATACAGCGTGTTACGTGCACCACGGCTGCTGGTTATGAAGTGCCTGATGAACCTGGGCCAGAAGCTTCCTCGGGAGCTGAAACCTGTGGCAACAGGGTCTGGCTTTGGCCTGCTTCACCCTATACGTTTGCTTATTTTGATGGAAACAAATGCAATCACAAGACGCATCCCTGCCATAATTCTTGATGTGGTGAATGGTGTTTTGAGTCATAGGAAACTGTAAGAAAATAGTGTTTCTGCTCATTCAGTGCTGTTTTCTCTAAGTTAGTCTTGTGGTAAAATATGAAGCAGATAGAACAGATTAGAGAAGCAGGTGTGTGGGCAAGAAACAGCTTTGAAATTTTGACACTCTGGCTGGGAAAAATAGACTTTTACTTAAAGTGGTGTTCATCATGATGATGTTTTGTGCTAGAGTTTTTCCCCTTTGGTCCTGTTAACTTTATATAGGAAAGATCCCAGGAGAGTAACAGTGCCAATACTGGCAAGTTTTTAGAGGCTTTCTTAAACCTCTTATTTCACAGAAATCTGTGAAGTTTCTGGCTGGTCTGTCCTTTTCTAGCCTAAGCCTTTCCTAAGAAATCCAGCAATTTTCCACTTGAAAATAGCTATGGGTAAAGTCACACACTACTTTCACATAAGATTAAGGGTTTGACAAGGGTAGTGGGAACAAAGAAATTCCAGATTAAGTCTGCTCCATATTTAAACCCCCCTCTCCCAGCCCCCTGTTGCACAATAGCAAGCTTTCCTAACGCAAGTAGGTTGTTGATATACTTCCAAAAAGAATTCCAGTTAGCTGAGAGATGGGATTAAATGGATTAAATAGCCTCCTTGTTTTTCAGTGAAAAAAAGGAGTTTGGTTGAAGGCACGTACAAATGTGAACTCTAAATGATTTTGGACTAGATTGGCCTTCCAAACCACCTCAGATTGCCTTGCAAATCAGCGTGCCCTTTCTTGGCGAGGCCCTGCATGTTGGTGATGGGTGTGCGTGCATGCAGACATGCACGTGCGAGACGGTGGCCGCGCGGAGTTTGCACTGTGGCTGCAGCCATTTCAGCAGACTACGATCATCGGCCAGGAGGTAGGCTCTCAGTTGGGTAAAAAAGCTGCAAAGAATATAAAATGGTGCAGAGTGCTCTGTGGCCAGTCTGTCTCTACTGCAAAACAGGTGTGCCCTACTCAGCCAAACCCAAGCCCTGGGAGAGCCCGAGAACCTCCAGTCCACCAGCCTGCTCCTACACTAGCGTTTTTGGTGGCCTCTTCCATTTTGCCACTGTGTTGTGTGGTTACTAGGTGTTACCTTTTCTTCCTCAGCGCAGGCACTTGACATGGTACGAAAACCAACATTCTCCTTCTTTTAGTTCGTCTTGTGGACTTCTTTTCCTAAGAGTTTATATGGCATCAGCTTTATACAAAGTACATACAGATTCTCCCTAAGTTATTCTTGCTCATAATGAAAGCTGATTTCTCCTCAGTCCTGCCTATCCTGTCTTGCTTTCATGTGTCTGACCCCTGAAGACAGGAAATAGCAATGTGAAGCTCCACGCCAAGGTCTGCCAGCAGCTAACTTGATGTGTGGCAGATGCTTACTGGAGTAATGACTTTTATGTGGACAGCATGACTCTGTAGCAAACCTGTCTTTTGTCTTGGCCGTTGCATGGCATTCTTTCTAAGTCTTTGTCCTGTGAAACTTATTGCCCACGTGCTCAAGCGGCGGCAGCAGTAGGTTTTTTTTTCAGCTGTATCTGAAAGACCCATTTTGTTGCTGGAAAGATGCAGATAGTATCATATGCTTGGGATAGCATTGATTATGACAAAAAAAAGGTGGTGGGAGGGTTTGGAAGGGCAAGATTAGTGGTAGCAGATTAAAATTGTCAGGAATCCCTGAAACTTTTTTGTGGCTTCCTTCTAAGGTCTCCTAATTTGCCTTAACCTATTGTTTTTCTGAAGAGTCACGTCTAAGAGGCTGAGGAGTAATGCATCCCAGATCTCACTTACGCATCCAGTCTAACTGGTCTTAAGTATAAGCAGTGGATTAATTTTGTATTGTGTGTATGTTTTCCCTTTAAAAGCAGACTTCTTGCTGTCTTTGATTTCTGTATTAATTTGGAAAGCATGCGCTAAGAGTAAAATTTGTTTCACATTTGTTTCAAATTCAAATTAAATCCCTTCACCCCCAACAAGAAAGAAAAAAAAAAGGGGGGGGGGGGGTGACCTTATCATGACTGGATCTCATCCTGATCAAGGGCCAAGTCCTTTTAGCATTGAAAGGAAGTAAAAACAGGAATTAAGAACTTTGATTACCACTGGGGTAGAAGTGTTCTCCTCTTTCCTCTACCTGCAAGGAAATGCTACAAAGCAGCCATTTATTCAGACAGTACAATTCTTATCTCTTTTCGCTGACTGGCTTACATCTTTTATTTTACCTTAACACTTGGGCCTGTGTCCCTCCCACCTAATGTTATTCACCTGAGACACATGTCTTCAGAGGGTGGTGAATGATTGCTTCCTGGAGAGCAGGAGCAGAGAGAGATGGGCATACCCCAGCGGCAACGCAGCCTGCCTGAGATACGAGTTACCTCCTTGCCAAAGCCCTCTTGCTCACTTTTTCTCTGTCTTCACTGACAGTGTAGGGTGATTTTGCTTCTGGCTTTGGTGTAACAGATTAGATAAGGAGTGTAAGTACCTAAAATTAGTACCTCAAGGTTTTTTTAACTGTAAGTCAACCAACTAGAGCAAAGGAAAAAGGATGAGACAATGTAAAAATGAAAGCTGCTTAACTATAGCGGTACTTTAGTGCTTGACTAACATTCCTGTCTTCGAAAATCTGCCCTCAAGGAAAACGATGCTACACTGTGCACAACCTGTGCAAAAGTTAGCAAAGATTTGAATGTGTTTGGAAGATGAATAACGTCGTGATTTTCCTCACCCTGTGGGTTTTTTTCCTTTTTTTCCCCCATAAAGTGGCGTACTAGGGGCTCATCAGGTTGTGCGTTAGATAATTGAGTTGTTATGCCAGCAGGCTGTGCTGAAAGGTGTTACATCAGTGATTTCTTTTTCATCCCACTGTGCTTTGATCTCCTGCTATAAAGCAGAAGATCTAACAGTGGAAACTTTTGAAGATGATAGATGAATTTTGCTAATCCACTTTTCATAATCCTTACAAAAAATGTCTGTCCTTATCAGTCAGAAAAGATTTAATAGCTGTTGTCTCTAGAAAGTCTTATATTATCAGGATTGCAAACTATAGAATTACTGTTATGAAATATTTTACTAGGATGTTTTGAAATGTAAATGCTTTAGAATAAATCAATAAAGATGCTTCTTTGTTAACCATGCTTTGTTTGTTGTATTTTCTCACTACAATGCAAAACTCATTTGCAAGAGAGCACTGTGCAATGGTGAATATTTGCTGTCCTTATTGGTGTTAATTGCCCTGTTTTAATTCCATATATTGGAATTCACTGAAACAGTCAATCCAAATACACTAATTCCAAACATTATATGGTGCAACACTTAAAAATGGTAAAAGTCTTGGCTCACAAGGTGTAAAGCATTGTAGCTGATGGAACCATTGCGACAGTAAGCAGTGTGTTTGCAGAGTTTGGGGCAATAAAATGTGGCATCTTCTAGGAAGGAACAAGTTCTTGTGCTTGTCCATGGATGAAATTCACGCTCATATCATCCAGATGAAGTCAGTAAAGTCACTGCGCTTGCCCAGGATTTTGTCCAGCACAATCTTGCCCAATATATCTCGTTAGTTGAGCTCCCCACATCTCTGGAAAACCCTGCTTATAGAAAATTGCCAGCAATGCTTAGGATTATAAAAAGCATTCACCAGGTCTGATTATATTTTATCTCTTTTCTTTACAATAGCTTTGGGCCAGATTATGCTCTATGTCGATGGTATGAATGGAGTAATAAATCATAACGAAACCATCCAATGGCTGTACACACTTATTGGGTCAAAGGTAAGACACTCTCCAAAATTCTCATTTTATGTGTTTTTGGTGTTCTTTAAATGCATTTTATTTGTATTACGTATGCATTTAGGGTATAAACAGACTGCGTGTTAGGTTCTAAATGAGTATATAACTCTCTGCGTGGAAACCAGGGCACACTGAGCTGTTATTTCTTTTCTACTGTTTTTATACTCTTTTGTGCTGTTGTCACATACTGTGCTCTTAAAAGCAAAGATACCGAAGATGCCCTCAGTACTGTCTGTGCTGCCATTGCAGTCAACCATGGAGAAGATGTTTTAGTCTTGCAGTTGCAGTTCCCAAGACATTCTTTGGAACTGCTTTTTGGGGTGTTTTGTTCTGCCTTTCCGTCCTACGAATGCAAATCCTTTTCTACAGTTTCACCATTCTACACTGCTCAACTTTACTGAGCACTGGGGGAGAACAACTCAGAGTGACTTCCTTCTTAGAATAGACTAGAATAGACTATTTCAGTTGGAAGGGACCTACAACGATCATCTAGTCCAAGTACCTGACCACTTCAGGGCTGACCAAAAGTCAAAGCATGTTATTAAGGGCATTGTCCAAATGCCTCTTAAACACTGACAGGGATGGAGCATTGACCACCTCCCTAGGAAGCCTGTTCCAGTGTTTGACCACCCTCTCTGTGAAGAAATGTTTCCTAATGTCAAGTCTTCTAGTGCCTAAAGAGCCCTAGAAGACAAAGTCTGGTACCTGGGGATTCTTTGTTGGTCCCTACATACAAGGAGGCAAAAGCTGAAGGCCAGAATATATGCCGCTTGGGTTGGGCTTCTCCCGTGGAGTAGTGATTTATATAGTGCACAACCCACTTTTAAGGCCATCTTTGCTGGAAGTTGGAAAGGAAGCAGAACACAGATTCTGCTGACACGCCATCCTGAAGGGCCATAGGGTAGGTAAGGCCACAAATACACTGTTCTCCAGTCTGTTGGCTCTCCAACTTCAGGAAGTTTATTAAGGCCTGCAGGGACTGCTGCTGCTCTTGCCATGTAGACCTTCTTGGGGCAGACCTGTATGACACAATAGCTGGAACAGCTATTGTTAGCTATTGTTAACAACTTTAAAGTTGCCGTAATTGGTGGAGTTGAATCCATAGTGAGAATTATGAAGAAATTTCCAGCAACTTTTCCTCTAGTGGCTAGGTCACAGAAAGTTTCTGTTGGATACTGTAATGACATAGAGATGCTGCTGCTCTCCCTCTTTCCCCTGATAGCTTTCATAACACAAGGAGAAAAAGAGCTCAGTGTCCCGGGGGCCTTTTTTAACCACTACAGAATTTTTTCTACAATGTGCAAACTTCATTGCTGCAGCAGATTATCAGGTCAAAGAACAGATGCTGCAGTATTGAAAGAACTTATTTATCTTGGGTTGATGTATCTATATTGGTAGATATGTAAAAGTAAGATAATTGTGGTTATCAAATCTCAGGCTTGCAGGGCGTGGTTCATGATTGGGAGAAGATGAGAAGAAATTTTTCCCCCATGTAGAATGTTCCACTGTTGGCTGGGCGTTACACTGGGCAGTTTGCCCTCTTGAAACAGGGAATGTTAGCCATGGTTGGAGCAGCAGTGCAAGACGAGAAAGAAATGCTTTGCTTGGTATAGATCCTCATTTTCTATGGAACAGATAAGAGACAAGCAAAAAAGGAAAAAAAAATATTGCCATGTCCGTGATTATTTTAATTCTCTAATGCACCTAATGGGAGTGGGATGGGGGAGAAACATGGCGGTATTGCTACCTTGCAGGTTAAATTCTGTCTAGATTTTCTCGATCAGAGTACTTCAGCTCTCGGGTCCTTAAGCTCCTTTCTCCCTCCCCCGTTGCCAGTCTGAATGATTATCTCCGTGTCCTGGCTCAGTGCCTGCAGCTGAGGAATGCAGGCAATGTGCTTTGAATAGTTTGGTTTCAGGTAGCATCAAAGTTGCTTTTTCATTATTCTTTGACTGTCTTGGAAGAGATCTAAGTCCCTGTCTGTGTGCCAGAAGTTAACTGAAGGTATGGCAGGCTTACTGTCAGAGTGTGGTGGGATAGCTGCTTTATGCACTTAAAGGTGGTTTTGACTTTCTGTGAAAAATGAACCCCTGGAATTTGCAACGCACCTACGGTCTAATTTGCAGCCCTGCTATGCTGGTGCCTTCTGCGCAGCAAAGGCGGTGAAAAATACGTTAACGCTGCTGAACAAAAAAAGAATAGTGAAATTGCCAATTAAATCTTGGGACAAATCCCTCTTATAGGATGCAGGAGGAATACAGCCATTCAGCTGCCACAGCTGTGACACATGGTTTCTTGCCTAATCAAAAGCTCTGACTGGGTTTAATATACTCAGCAGTGGAGGTCATTGAATCTTTTCCACTGATTTTTTTTTTTTTTTTTGGTCAAATTCTGTAAGGGTTTTGACCCTTTGCTGTTACTTACTCTGCTCTGTACAGAGCTCTGGCTCTGTGGCCCGTGCTGACTTTGAGTAGCGTATTGTTGCATGTGCTTGTCCGCTGCAGGACACGCGTTCAGCAGAGGACCTTAGGGTCTGTCACACCTAGCACTGCAACAGCTATAATTTTGGCACCCAGCTCCAAGTTCACTTTGGGCACCCAGTGATACTTCTGTACAGGGATAGGGGAAGGGGGCAGGAAATAAAATTCAAAATTAGTGAGAAAGAAGAACTATAAGCAATTTACTGAAAGCCTGTTTAGATTGTTATCTTTATATTCCTTAGTATTGCTAGTTCTGCTGCAGTTTTACCCCTCTAAGCATCCATAGATTCTTCTATAGGTGGATTATCAGAAGTTGCTGATAATTTTAGCAGTGGTCTAAATTTGCTCTGAAAAAAGTTACTGGGGAGGCGATTAAAATTCCAGCAGCGTGACTGCACTAGTGCTGCTGCCCTTACGCTGGGTAAGGGGCACCAGTGGTGTCAGGGTGAGGGACTGACAAGCGGGAGGAAAGTTAATCTTAGATGACTCATTTGTTAGTGGGGAGAAAGAGCCTCCTGTTTCAAATTGGTATTCTGTAGGTGTTAGATTGGAAATTTGAAGTTTGCAGTACCCTTCTTCTGCCATGTTATTTAAAGAGAAGAGCATTATCAGCAAATCCCAGCCACTGCTGGTCCTTTGCAAGACACGTCCAACCATGGGTGACCACGCCAATGTGTGCCAGCGGCCTCTCACAGGCTGGCTGTAGACCACTTTCCAATCATCAATGGCTAATACATCCCTGGCATAAAACATTTACAGCATAATCCCAATTTAAATGTACATTACTACTATTTCATCATTAGTTATATAGGCAGCAATTCATCAGTTTTTCCCTGTTTAACAAAGCATTCAAGTATGTACTTAATTATAGGTGTATGGTTACATGCTGTTGGCCTCCAGGGAACTTTAATACATAACTGAGGTCAGCAGTGTACTGCTGGAGGAGCGTACAAGAGGGCTATAGCAGGGCCAAGGCTCTGACCATCTTATATAAGCTAGAAGTTACGTAAATAGGAAATAATCTATGTCAACCAAGTTTTCGTTTAGCATTCGTTGGAAGCATGGAACATTCATGCAAGATAGCTTACTTTTTAAAAGACAAAACTAGGAGTCAATGAATGTTAGTTAACAGTGCTTTCAGAATTGCTCCTTAATTTTTACTTTTTTTTTTTTTTTTAAGTGGGTAACCTACTCTATCAAAGATGTTGTCTTAACTGACCATGTGCTGTAACACAAACCTTGATTCAACCTCACAGCATCGGGGAAATGTTATTTCACTACTTTCTCAGTGTTTTTGCCAGCTATATGTTGCTGCTGCTGAAGCTGGAATTAGGTTTTTACATCATATTGGAAGTTACATTGAGCCTGCTTGTAAAGGGACCTGAGGCGTTTGTTCCTGCTGGCAGCTGTCACCCCTGTGGAGCTCTGTGGTGCATCACCTGCAGGTAGAGTTGAGGTTTGATGGTGATGGCGAGGACTGCTGGAAAATTTCTCTTACCCAAAACAAGGGACACCACCTTAAACATGTATATGCACTAAGCCATATTAAGTCCTTACCATGTATTTTTCATCTGTTAGCATGTATGAGGTAATATATAGTATCTTTCATATGCATTGGTATTCCCTCTGACCTGGTAAGAGAAAGCGTACAGTACTGTATCAGTGCTTTACCCTCTCCAGGACTAGCTACCAACTGTTTACAAAAAGTACATTTCTGAACCAAACATCTCGGAAAAACCCCAAGTGTTTATATTGTCCACTAGAGAAGCAAACACTCCTTTGCATCACAAACCCACAGGCTTTTTCCACTCCACCTCAGTCTTCAAAAGCACATTAAGTGGTCCAAAGCCTGAGTCTGGTTTCACCTTTTCTTTCCCCCCATTTCAGACTGCTACTGATAATGATTATTTTTTCCTATTGGATGACCCAGGACATTCTAATTTCCCCCAGGGGAGCTAAAGCCCCTTTTTGGCATTGTTGTCGGTGGAAAGTAATCCATTTTCAAAGTGGTGCTGGGTAACCTCAGAAGACTGGGTGGAATTGTGGGCCCAGGCTGATACAACGAGGTTGATTAAAGATTCCTATCTCGCGTCTTGTTTTAATTTTTTTTTTCTACTTTGCTTCTGTCTGGGTCCTAGACTGCAAGTTTAAATACAAATTTTAACTAGCAAGTTGTTCTCCGTGCCTTGTGTGAATCTTTTGCTTCCCTTGGTATTGAAGTAATGACTTTTTGAATGTTTTAAATGTAATTCAATCCAAAAGAAGAAAAAAACCCACAACATTCAAACAGAACATAGTTGTAGTGGGTGATTTTGTGGATTTCAAAAGGAAAGTCCAGTAGGGCTGCTTTTCCTGCACAGTGCCAGTGACGTGTTAAAACATGCTCACGGTTGGTAAGTCATTTCATGAGAATCCTGAGAGAAATAATATTCTTATTCACAAAAAGCACTAAAATTGTTTCTACAAGTGAATCATTTAAGGTACGTAGAGGTAAATAGTTTA